TCTATTGGGTGTTAAGTTTTGAAAAATAATAATTTTATATTGTACAATATTGAATATAAAGGGAGGGGACTTCCAATTCTTTTAAGAGGTTAATATGAGAAAGTAAATCCTTGAATTTTCTCTTTTTGCTATTTAGTGTTTTTAAGCACCTTTGGGGAAGGCTCAAGCAAATGGACAGATCTATAATTATTTAGTGTTTATTTTGGTTTATATCAAATGGTAGATATCAAATGAACTCCTAAGACAGTGCTTGCCTTTATTAAATTTGATGATTCTTAACTGGAAAGCTGTGGGTCACAAGAAAGTTCAGGCCCAGGGAGATAGCTCAGTAGAATAAGTGCTTGCCTGGCAAGCACAGGGTCCTGAGCTCAATCCCTGGTACTGCAAAATAAAAAAAAAAATAAAAAAAAAAGTCCAAAGATGAGAATGGGAAAGTGACAGAGAGGTTAGTTCAGATTTTCTTTTTACTTTAAAAGATTTCCATCCTCAGTATAGCTGATATTTGTAATTTCAGTTAAAACGTTGGTGCCTGGGCAACAGTGCCTGCGATGTCATCGTACTTTAGGCTTTAACATAGAAGCCAGGTAAGTGATTTTAACAAATAATATTTTATTCATGCTTCAAGTTGCAACTTTCACACACAGTGTGCATATGCATGCACACGCAGATATGTACTCCAGGAGTAAACTTTATCTCTATAAAGTTATTTTATTAAGTAATTTGGTTAGAAATAAGATTGTCATTTCTGGACCTGGCCTGTGGTGGACCACAATGACTTGAGGCATGTCATTGGCTACAATTGCAGAACAGCTAGTATAACAGCAACATTTATAGCACTATAAAATTGTACAATGATTCTGAAGGCACTGTTGAAGAATGACTGTAAACATGATGGTGTTTTTGATGTGATTACATGGCAGAGCTTGGAGTTTGCATTTCATTTATAAATATGTACATATATATGACAGTGAATTAAAGGAAAACATAAGTGTTGGGTTCACATAAAGAAATTTTAAAATAGGAAATATTTTTGTAAGAAAACTTTTGCATGTAATTGAATTTACAGTACACAAATATATAAAAAGAATGAGTTAAAGGAAACACAAGAATTGCATTCACGTAGTTTTAGAACAGGAAATATCTTTGTAAGGAAATGGGCGTTGTAAAGTAGAAATTGGTGCACACATTGTTGAGCAAATGGAGCAGGACAGAGGAGGACTGAGTGGCACTGTGGACACTCGAACTTGTAGACTGTGATCTGGATTTATTATGGCTCCAGAGGTCATGCTGACTCATAGGTTAGACATTCACATCTGTTCGGAGCATAAACATTAAGTAAGAACATAAAACTTGCCTTCTCAGGTTCCCCCCCCCCCACTTTTTTGAAGTGTAAAAGCATTAGTATTGTATTTTAGAAGAGAAGGGAAAGGACTCTATTTACTAGTAATATGGTTATTTTTGTTCTTGTACCTTAAAGAGATGTCTATGTTATGTATTATGTTATATTCACCATGTTTTTTTTCCATTTGAAAGTAATTGTTCCTTAGCAAATAATTGTAGTCTATAATGACTTTCATTGAGCTTGATTGAATTAGGAGTATCTATAAAAATGAGTTAGTTAAAGCTTAATGTATTACCTAGAAAATTGATGAAAACACACAGAAAAGCAGTTATTCATGGAGATGAAATATGCTTCTAAGTAAGTAGGCACATGGTTACCTTGGAGTCCCTACTGCTGCCGAGGTAGTAGAGACATCAGAGTGCTGAACGCAGTGTGGGCATGGGAGTGGGTTTTGCCATGATCAGCCTTTGAGTGCAGTACTGGATATTAACACTAGTTAAGAGTATGCTTCATTATAAGGAGGACACTTCTCCTCCTGGCTTTATTTTTGGTTTTTTTCCCCTGTACTGAGCTTCTCAAAGCACTGCACCCCAAGGATGCTGTGTGAGCTGTGCTAGGTAGCCAGTTGTTTCAACACATTTTAGTGGTTACTTAGGGCACATCTTTAAGATAGGTTTTTCAGATGCCCTAGTTGTGGTAACAGGTAAGTCATAGATTTTTTAGGAGATGGCTGCCCCACCTCCCATTATGTATGAAAGTTCTCAGAGGGAATTTTGAACTGTACCAGGTCCAGACTGACTAGGACTATGGGAAACATTGCCATGGGTGCCAAACAGGAGCCTTGGAAGGGGAAAAGGAAGTTTGTTGTTGTTGATCTTTATATTTTAGGGAAGGGTCTACAGGGTGTTCAGGTGAAAAGAAAGTTTTTAATGAGATAGAGTAAGCTAATCAGAGAGAGTCAGGATTCCAAGACTATTGGGATAAGGAAGGAGAGGAAACCAGTGGGGAACGGGGAGTGGGGACGCGTCCTGAGAACACAGGCAGGCAGCAGGTGGCGTAGGGGTGGGCGTTGCCCAGCACACCTTCTTACAGCTCACCTCACAGCCCAGTACCATCAAATGCAAACTTGTGTGAAATGCTTGTAATTTAAGTGAAGCGCAATTTACGTTGAAGTTGCTTTTCTGAAGCTATTATAGGCTCTTGGGAGGGCAGATAAAACCTCGAGTCTCCAGATTTGGCTCTGTGAACTCATAAGGGAGCATGTCTCAGGCAGGTCCTTCAGTATGGACAGTGACTGCTGTTTTGTGGCTGATCCCATTTTCTTAAATCTACCATGATTTCTTTGTTTTCTTAAGAGAGTAAAAACCCATATTGCCTACAACATAGTCTGTCTATTGCTTTCCCATTGTTTTAATGCATAGTTTTATCTTACTGAACAGTAATCAGAATGAGGTATAATTGTGGTCTTTTAAAATATATTTTCAGGGGCCAGAGAGATGGCTCAGTAGAATAAGCACTTCCTTGGCAAGCGCAAGGGGCTGAGTTCAATCCCTGGTTCCACCAAAAAATAAATAAAATAAATAAAAGTAATAATAAAATATATTTTCATTATAGAAATAAATCTGTGAGGCTATCTGAAGGTCGTTAAGAATATATTTTTAAATTCCTTAAAGAACTTAATATATAGGAAAAATGAGTATATTTTATTTCTTAAATAGCATATGCTCACTTCTTAAACTAAAGAATTAACAGATCTTTAAACCAAAAAAATTAACTCAAACTGTCAAAATGAATGGTAAGGGCCTGGTGAGATAGCTCAGCAGACTAAAGTATCTGGTTAGGCAAGCTTAGGCAAGAGCAGGGACCACGGTTCGATCCCTAGCACCACATGTTGAGCTGGGCACAGAGTCCGGGAGTGGTGGCGTATCCCTGTAATCCCAGCGCTGGGGAGGCTGAAAGCAGGATGATCACCATGAGTCTGAGTTGTGTAGTGAGAGCCTGTAACAACCAAATACATTTAAAAGAAAATGATAGGTCTTTCTCTTCTAATTTTGGTTCTGTAAGTTGTATTTACCTTTTAAATTTATATTATTTTCTTTACTTCAGAGTTATTTATAGTTACTTTATGGTTTTTACTCATTGTGTAATACTTTTAGAGGATGTACATGAAGAAAAAATATGTTCATACAAAATATAGTTTGAAATGTTTCTAAAAGAATATTTTAGTAATGTCTTTTTATCATCTTAAAAAGCATTCTATAAAATTATTGCTTATAATTTTATGCTTTATTCCTGAAATGTTATAAAAACACTTAATTTGAAAGTATTCATATATATCCCTTTTTAGTTAAAAATCTCTTTTTTTTTTTTTTTCTTTTCATCTAATCCCTTGTTTTCAAAAGTATGGGAGTAAGAGAGTAGTGTCTCGTATGAAACTGTGGGAAACACATTTCTAGTTTGCTTCAGTGGTCATAATCTACACTGAACTAAGAAGGACCGTTTAATGTTTTTTTCTTTCTTTTCTGTTACTATTATAATTAATAGCTTAGATGACAACTGAATCATCTAATTCTAGATAGTTACCGAGGTGAATTATTATATACTTTTGATATTTAATATGGAGAACCATTTCTTTATAGTCACTGATTAGGAAAAAACAAAACAATGTCAGCTGGATCATAATATGAGAGATAATATTGATAGAGCACAAAGCTAAAGATGCCCTCTTCTGCGGTGGACGGTTTACATACTGTGAAGAAGTACTGTTGTCATAATTTGTAAGGAGGAAGAAATGGTTTCTTTTAGCTCTGTGGGTGGGTTTATTATTACCACCTAAACAAGCTATAGAGATTAAATGCATCTCAAAGATGAACTGAAATCCTATTTTAATTAAAATAAGATATACTTTAAGAATATAATATGTATTTGCAATGTTTCATTTTGTTGATAATGTACTTTTTTTGCTGATTTTGATCATCTTTCCTGTATTTTTTTTTTTTTTTTTAGTTTTTTATACTTAAGATTTTGTTGTTGGATGACTTTTGTTTGTTTGTTTGTGGCACCAGGGATCAAACTCAGGACCTTGTGCTTGCTAGGCAAGCACTTATTCTACTGAGCTACCTCCCTAGCCCTGCTATGACTTTTATCTATGTGTTCCCCATCTTTCCTGGCTATTTTCTTGTTCATTTTTATTGTCTTGCTTCTTTTAGTATTTTCAAACATTTAAAAGACAAATTATAATTAACATCTACATCATAGTTTATCTCATTGAGTTGAACCAGTCATTTAAAGTAACTTGAATTTACTCAGGATGTTAATTTAACCCTCTATTTTTCCAAAGGGCTTGCCTTTATTTCTACATTTAATTTAGCCAAAAGACCAAAATGTAACCTACTTCTTTTAGTCTGTGTAACTTTAATCTCATGCTTCATGTTGAATAATTTTAGTTGCTGGGTTTTTTTTAATAATAATATTCAGCATCACATTCTCAAAATTGTGTTAGCGTAGGTTAGCATCAGGATATTTGCCTGATTTGGGTTGCTTGGCTGTCATTTCATTTTACTGGGAGATTATTTTGCTGAAGGAGAATGAACATCAGCTTCACTTGAAAGAGCTTGGTGTGCTCCATGCTAACTGCTTTCCATTGCGTCTTTCACAGAATCCTGCGGCATCACAGAAGCTGGAAGTTCTGATGTTCCATTGAGGCACAATGGAAAGCCTGGACTTGACTGGTAAGGGCTGCGCCGAGGGTGCTTCTTCCTTACTTACCTAGAAGTAGTGAGGCCGCTAGGAGTTGTGTGCTGTCAGAGCTACTCTAGCGTTTTCCTGTTTGATGGACTTACCTTACATACTGGTCAAGGAAGTGTGACATTTATATATTTTAAAGTGACATTTTAATCTTCATCATCAAGGAAGGTAAATCTTTTAAAATCATGAAATGTTTAAAAATAACTTTCCAAAATCTCTTGATTCGTTTTCCATAGCCGTATGTATTAGTGAAAGTAAATTTATTAAAGTCCTGGGTAGAGGTTACTTAAAAAATATTTAACTGGACAATTTTCCCAGAAGCACGTTTTGTACAATCACTGGATTTAATTGAAAAATGAATCAGTATCAAAGCGTTAGGGAGTTTTTCTAACATAAAAATAATGGAGGTGTTTGTAACTATATTATTAAGCCATGTATAATATAAAAACCTCATAATGAAAAAGTGGAGGTTTTTAAATATATACAAGTGAAAAACTTTCAAACTCTACAATTCTGTCATTTTTTATGTCAGTTATTTTCAAAGTCTAGGAAAAAGTTATTTGTTTAAAGTGTGACTGTAATATTTAAAATTAGTTTAAATACTGGTTACTTAAATGAATAGATTTTTCTGAGTCTGGGAATAAAATATATGACTGATTTACTAATAGGATTACTGTATTGGTGAACTGCTGATTTATAAAACGAAAGACTTCGTGTAAATTTAAATGAACAAATTTATATACTATTTAGTTGCAGTTTACAAGAAAATAACTCATTCCTTAATTTTCTGTTCCAGTTAATTGTATATTACTCTGAAATCTGTCTCAAGGAAGTAGTCATTTGATCTGTGATTTCTGAATGTTAATTTGATTACTTCAATAAAATTCATTTTATTTCTTTTAAGCAGAAATTGACAGAAATTCAAATTGCTAAAAAATGTTGAGATGAACACTTGATTGCAGATGGTTAAGACTCTAAACTGCTTCAGTATAATGGTACCTTGATTCACAAACTTTATTGTATGAGTTTGGAAAAGATGGCCACGTTTGTGTTTGTGTGGGAAAGATGGCTATGGTTGTGCTTGTCTCCTGATACAGTTTGCAAACAAAAATTTTACCAAACACTTCTGTTTATGAGCAAAATTGTGAGGCAAACATGATAACCACTACACTATGGGAATCTCCTGTGAACCAAATTGTTTGGGGAAAAACGAAACAAAATAGAAAAAAAAAAAAAAAAAAAAAAAAAAAAAAAAAAACACCCTCATTCCTAAACTGAGGTACTGCTATATTAAAAATGGAAAAGATGCTCTACAAAACCAACTGCAATTTTGGAACTAATTTCCTGGAAGATTAATTCCATGATGAAGAGATGCCGGGGTCTGTTAAATCAAGGACACTTGTTATGTCAGTTAACTTAGGCAGAGTTCTACTTCATTCTCATGAGAGTCCCCCAATCTTAGTTGAACAGTACATGTCAGGAGAAATTGCTCATTTTTGTTGATGTTCCTGATGAGTAGGCTGTGACTGGGCTTCATGTCTTCTTCATTCAGTATTTCTGGGATGCCTAAGTTTTAAAGGGGGGAAACATAATAAAATGGCTTCTTAGAAGGGACACCTGTCAGTACCTCTCATATTTCACTGCCAAAGAGAGTCCCTTGTGCTTTAGGATGGAAGGGGTGGTGGAAGGGGGTTGGGTAGAGAAAGGCCGATAAGGAGGTAGAGTGTGTATTTTGACTGTGATCAATATAGAATACCATCTACTACTTCTTAGACAGAGTACATATAATGTATGTAAAGATTCTCAAAAGTCCTGCAGTAAATGAATCTGCCTAACATGTAAAAGTACTTGACCATGGATTGATATTACTATGTGGAATACAATCTGTGACAAGTTTTATAAGAGTTTCTGGTATACATTTTAGACATACATTATTGTTTTTTTTTTTTTATTTTAACATTTTAGTGTGTGTGTGTGTGTGTGTGTGTGTGTGTGTGTGTGTATGTATGTATGTGTGTATGTGTGTGTGGCCAGCTCAGCCCACCAGGGGGCGCGGCTGGCTGGCATGTGGTACTGGAGGATTGAACCGCGGTCCCTGTGCTTTTGCCAAGCTTGTTCCAAGTAGGTGCTTTAGACCACTGAGCCATCTCTCCAGCCCCTACATTATTGTTTAATAAGTAGTTTTTAAAATGAATGAAAATTCCTCTATTGTGGACCACACTGTAGTATGTTTACAGTTTGAGAAAGGAATCATAATGCTCCTAATAATTTATTCTCTAGTAACAGGTTATAGAACTTCAAATTTCTGTAGCTTACTAAAATAGGGGAGAAATCATTATACTAATTAGTGTAAGAAATAAGTACTTTGCTTTTTCTTATAGTAATACAATAATTATACCTGATAGAATGGTAGCCAAATGCCTTTCAGTTCAATTTTAAGAATCACTCAAGAGATAAAGAATGCAGACTTTAGGATACCTACGGTATTTCACCTAAAGTCATACTATCCTGTGATCTTGTGTTAATATGTACTAAATCTTTTAGAAAATTACTAGATATGTAAAACACTTCTTCCGGTATTGATTTGATTAATTGTATAGCTGTTTAGAAAGCATTGCTACCAGACCTGTGTAAAGTGAGTTAAAGATCCATCAGTGTGTAAACACTGCTCTGTTTGATAGTTTATAGTTTTCTAAGATTGAGGGAGAGGGGCGCAGTTAGACAGTCTTTTAAAAAATGTGTGTGTGTGCGGCACATAGAGTTGATCAAATACATAGTTAACATTTAAAGTTTTTTTAAAAAATTACAGTAAAAGATAACATTGCCATTAATCTTCGTTAACATACTTTCCTTTACTTTGAACACATTAATCCCATCATTCTCTCTCTTTTCTAGAGCAGTTTTCCAGTCCTTTTTCATGAGTGTCTCTGTGAGGTGTGATTAAAAAAAAAAAATGCAGTGACTGCTGCTGCCGAGAGCCTCGCCATGGAGAGGCAGCCACGACAGTGCGACTGAAGGCGATCACACGTGCATTATGTGAGGGTTAGAGTGCAGGCAGCTTAGCTTCTGGATTTAGGGGAATTCTGACCCGAGTGCTTTTTGACTAGAATAATTTGGGTGATTATTTAATCTCTGAAACTGTTTTCTTGTCTTCATAGAGGAATAATGACCTTTATTTTGTAAGATTGTGAGAACTAAATGAGGTCATTGTGTGAATGTGTCCATGCAGCCAAGCTAAACACAGAGACACTCAGGAAATGGAAAATTTTTCACCTCAGAGAAATGGTAGATGAAGAGTTAGGTATGCTTTCTCTGATTTACACATCATACAATATATGTCATGTCAAAACGTGACATATGCCCCATAAATAGGCTCTTCTATGTGTCAGTTAAGAATTTTAAAAATGTAATCAAGGCTCAAGAAGCCTGGTACTCATAAAATACGCCTATCTGTAGTTTCACTAGGAATTGAAAGTGGCTCTATCCTTACTCCTGCAGGCAGAGTCCTCCTTGTAATCTTAGTAACTACATACAGCCACTATATATCTTAATAATTCACTTCTGCTACTGAGAGTTTAGAAGCCAAAAGGCACGATGATGGCCAAGGTCCATAGTCTTAATAAAAATGAAGTTAACATCAAGTTGCAAAAAAAAATTATATAAATTTTATATAATTTTGAAGCAAGGTAAAAGACAGGAGATAGTGCCAGTGAAATTGTCTTTATCATGCACAGCAGATGCTCTCTGGTTTCAAAAGGAGTTAGTGTTTCTATTTTAAGATTTTTGTTAGTATGTATCATTTAAAAAAATTAATTACTTACTTAATTAATTTATTTGGTGCAGGGTCTCGTTGTGTAGCTCCGACTGGTAGTGATGCTCCTGTTTTCAGCCTCGCTAGCGCTGGCATCACAGGCGTGCACCGCCACCCCCAGTTTTAGTGGCCGGCTCCTCATGCCCAGGGGTTCAGGGCTAGCACAGCATGTGGTGCTGGGGATTGAACCCAGATTCTTGCGCTTTCCAAGCAGGACTGCTGATCAGTCTCCCCACAATTGTTAGGATTTTTGAATGAAAGTTTAATTGATTTTGATTCTTTAGAGAACTTCTCTATTGACATTGCCTCCTGTATTCTCAGAATGAGGTACTACATAGTAACCATTTTATAATTGGAGGTCTTATGCCCTTTCTAAAGTGATAATTTTATTTACTTAACTTAAAATAACAGATGCATGTAGAAGTGATGGAGGGGGTGAGCTTTTCTTCAACTGGCTTCAGGCTCTTCTTTTTATAAATGAGGCATCTTGGTTACCATCAGGTATTTAACTGGATTTTCAATAGAGTAAACCCACTTCAGAAATACAGACCCTCCATCATTAGAGATTGCTTTAGCCTGCATCGGCTGCTGGAATAACGTACTGCAAGTGGGCATGCACATTTATTTTATCGTGGTTTTGGAGGCTAGGAGGCCACGGGTAAGGCATTGGCAGCTTCATTCTGGTAAGGCTTCCTTGTGGCTTGTGTGCGCCATGCTGCCTTCGTGCGGAGTCCTCGCAGGGTCCTTCTGTGTGCGTCCAAGCGAGGGCGCTGTCCTTATCTCAAAGCCACTCTCCTGCCTGAAGGGCCCGTCCTCGGACCTTCCTTCTTTTTTGTTCCCTCCTTATTGATCCTCTACTTTGTCATATTGGAAATTTGGCTTTCAACCTGTGAATTTTATGGGAATATAATTTTGTGTATAAAAGAGGTAGTTGTTTTTCTCTACCAAAGAATCAAATACAGATGTTTTTAAAAAGTGCATTCTATATCATTTGATATATAATCAAGGAATCTAGATTTCAAGCCTATCTATGGTACCATTGAGATGGGAAATGTATGAAATTACTGATTTGTATTTCTTCCACTTTGAAGTCATTGTATGTGACAAAAACATTTTTACAAGTAAAGGAATCAAAGGTAATAACTTTAAAGTCAAGTGGTTTGTATAATGGAA